GTTGCCTTCTCTAGTGCAGCTCAACCAGGTCTCGTCCCATTCGTCGGTATTTGTGATATCACAAATCCCGGAAAATATGCGTTGTAGTCCAAATTCTCCGATCACAAATGCAGACATGGTTTATGTTTACGCGGTGCGATGCAACAACAAAGACAGTATAAGTCATTATAATCCGTAATTATGTCCCCACTGGATGCAACAAATGCCTTGTTTGTAATGGGTTTTATTGGTTTTGTCTCGTCGATCCGGGACACAGCATCACAGTGTGTAACATTTCCGGCGTAACATTTCCGTCACACGCTTGAGGTATTCGGCCAATCACAACGCACTGGATAGCTGGCCAATCAGAGCACACCTCGCTTTTCAGACCGATGAGCTTTGTACAAATCGACGCGTTTCAGAAAGGCGGGGCATAGAGGAGAAACAGTAATGTACAGTATGTGGAAAATGTGTTTTTTGAACCTTAAACCGCATAAACACATTTCATTACACCAAATACACAAAATAATGTTCTTTTTAGCAACATCATATAACCCCTTTAACTTTGATAACCCTGCTGTGAAACCAGCTGCTAGAATTGAGGTTGTTGAAATTGTGACCAGAATGATTCTTCATGGTTGTATTTTTGTAGCCTCCACAGATGCCCTCTATGAGCATGATGACACAGCCCACAATTATGTACACACAGCCGGTCATGAGGCCATCCAATCCATTCGGATCAGTGTCCAGTGCACAGGTACAGTCCCTACAAACTTTCATGTACGTTATGTTGTTCTTGTGATGAATGTAGCTTTCTATTAACACTCTTCATAAACATGGTCCATTGTGTTCTGATGGGCCATGACACAGAGAACTCCCTCCCAAAGTGCAGATCATTCCTCTTCTCCTCCACATGTGCTTCTCCCTGTCACTCCAAGCTCTTTCCTTTCTCTCTCTGTGTTGTTCTCTCTGCATTAGCCCTCCGCTGCCTCTAGCCCTTCCAGTCAGAGTCCTCTCAGAGCCCCAGGACAAGACCCCTTTGCACAGCTCTCTCTCAAGGATTTCTTGTAGAGCTTCGTCTTTTGTCTAGGTACCGCATGTGTTTGTGCTCACCGATGGTCTTGCATGCACTCATGTTCATGTTTCTTCTCGTTTTATTAACATAAAATTGACAGTTTACTTTCTTAATACATATTCCTCAGTGTACATTATTTTAAACATATTTCATGTTACTATTAATTAAATTAATAATAATAACAACTGTGGGGAAAATTACTGAGGTCACCTTTAAAACTGATATTCATGCCTGAAGATTTCTATAGGGAATATACACTGAACAAAATTATAAACGCAACACTTTTGTTTTTGCCCCCATTTTTCATGAGCTGAACTCAAAGATCTAAGACTTTTTCTATGTACAAAAAAGGCCTATTTCCCTCAAATATTGTTCACAAATCTGTCTAAATCTGTGTTAGTGAGATTGAGCCACTCAAAATTACCGCAAAGGAAATTCCCTCACCGCTACAGCCCTATGTATATATTTTTTCTAGTTAAACTGATGTTTTAAGATATTTCATCACTTTATAAAAGTATTTTAAATGTTAACATTATTTTATAAAAGTAAAACTGACACTATTCTTTCTGAATACATTTAATTTTAAGTATATATTAAACATGTAATTTTATTTTTCAACAATTGATTTAATTATATGTAAAATAATAGTAGCAATAAATGACTGAATTCACCTTTAAAACTGTGGCCTGATAATATATTTTAAAAAGTCATGGAGATTTCTATATGGATTATAGTTCTTCTAGTTGTGCACAGATATTTCAAGATATTTCATCACTTTTTCATTTTCTGTGAGTACAGTCTGTATGAAATGATTTTTTAAATACTTATCCAGTAACCACAAACTGGAAAAGCCATGAAGTAGAAACCCTGCAACTTTCTGTAACACCTCTAAAACGTCTTTCCTTTTCGGTTGACATCAAACCCTCCTCTCCTCCAAACTGTCATACAGAGACTATTCACAATCCAATCAGTTCCCAGTCCCGGTCTACACTGGTTTCATTCATAAATGTGTCACGTTGTGGAAGCGACATGGGTCGCGAACGCTGTTTCTTGTAGACTGAACACACTGTTGTTTAAAGTATCTTTTTAATTGTACGTTTAATTGTTGCTTTCTCCAGATGCAGTTTATGTAACACAAAATGAAGTTGATCCCTGATGTCAAACCATTAAGCTCCGTCCTCTGTGCTGGGATGCTCTTCGGAGGACCGATCCCACAACATACTCGACGTCAAAGATGTAAACCAAGTGTGTTGAAAGACTGGGAGCATACTGCAATCATTTCGTAATTTGTTTAAGATGTCAAGTGATGCTGCTGTTCAACCCATAAAGGGATTCCTCATACATTTTATAATCTGTTAAGGTAGGTAAGGGCATTGAGAGACTTGGATCTTTTGTGTTCTGAGAAGCTATATTTTGATTTTCCTGCTAGGCTGTTCTTTTCCTTCAACCGGGAGCTTCTGATGAGAGGTCTTGTGGCAAACGTCGAGCTAAATCACAGTATAACTCAGCATCTGATATAGTATGTGTTATGAAATGGTAACAGTAACTTTGTTTTACATTTTATCTTTTAGTTTCGACTTTAATTGTATTCACAAAGACCTTTCTTGCGTGTCGTTTGTATTTATTTATGATTAATGCCTAAAAAATAAAACGGGAGAGTTTACAAAGTACATCGGGGGGAAATATAAATAATAATTCAACATTATTCATGGGTGTTGGATTGTATAATTATCTTTTAGTTTCGACTTTAATTGTATTCACCGGTAGACCTTTCTTGCGTGTCGTTTGTATTTATTTATGATTAATGCCTAAAAAATAAAACGGGAGAGTTTACAAAGTACATCGGGGGGAAATATAAATAATAATTCAACATTATTCATGGGTGTTGGATTGTATAATGAAGGTTTAGACTTTTAAAATAGATATTATGTGAAAAATACACCTGTAAGCTAAATGATAGAGCACTAACTATTCTCTAAGTTTTATGTCTAGAACAACTTCCCGTAGATGAAATGTTTGCAGCCCAAGGCTATTGGGAGGGTAATCATTAGTGAATGGTTTGTTATACTGTTTAGGGGTTTTGCAATGAGATATTTGTTGGAGTAGAAAAGCACTTCCTCCATGACTGTGAAGTGTTGCACTTGGGAAGGGAGGTGTTCTGCATTATGCATGGCATGCCATCATTTTCACGCGGACCGTAAAGATCTGGCTGCCCCTGATCTGAATGTTAAGAGTTGCCTTCATGTTTCAGACTTCTCGTCAAGTTAAGCACCCTGCTCTCTAAAAGTCCAGGAATACTGAACGGGAGCTGGACGCTCCTCTAGCTATTGGTCACGGACAGGTTTATTGATATCACTGTAAATTTGTAGTGTAAAATATGAGAAATGCTGACTGGGGAGACGGTTCGAGCACTGTTGATCGGTGCTTTTGTGTATATATACATATACCATGTCGGCAGTTTGTCCAGGGTTTGGCTAAGGATGGTTTGAAATATGAAAGCAATTCAATCAAATCGGACTTGACCTAAGTTTTACTGAATAATTTCTGTGTTGTCCTCACGGATCATTTTTTTGTTTATGTATTTAAAAGATGTAAGAACAATTAGTGAACTCTTTCTTTTTCAAATAAAGTGCAGCTTCCACAAATCTTGAGCATGTTTGTTTTATTGTCAGCATTAGTTTTTCAGCCCGACGTGGTGGTTAATCATGTACTAGTCTTTATTACTTACAAATACACTCAAACGTAGCATATCTACCAATAGGAACCTGCAAATTATCATTTGTATTCAATTAATCTAAATAGTACAGCAGGGCTGTCCTTAGCTGACACGGGGCCTGGTGCGAGGTAGGGAGCGGGGCCCCCTCGGTTCGTTCGCCGCAGGGCCCGGTGCGATCGCACCAGTTGCACCCCCCTAAGGACGGCCCTGTAGTACAGTTCACTCAAAAGTCATAGATTCAAAACTTTGCAGCTTAACGGATGTATAAAAATGTTTGATAGATTGGAGAGTTTGTACTCACTTGCCTCTTTACACTATGTGAAATCTACCCATTTCAAAACCTTACTCCTACTTGTTAAACATAAACCTGGTTAAACTTGTTCTAATATAAACTTGTTAAGGGAATCTAAAGGACTGAATTTCTATATTTATTTTACTTAAAATGACCGGGAAATAAAGTAATGTATACCCACAGACATGTGTTCCTGAATCCTGAATCTGTTTTGAACGAACTGATTTGGTAAATGATTCAATGATTCACTCATAAATACACTAATTTGTCGCCACCTATTTGTGTACTGACTGTAACCTGCAGAAACACTGAAAGTCCCAACCATTAATGCACAGACTGTCTGGAACAAAACAGGCAAGCCAAGTGATAGAATCAAAAGTCCCAGTGCTGTTGTACATCAGCATTTGCTAATCAAATTAGGACCGAAACGAACCGTTGTATAACAGCAGTACAGAATAACCGGACGACTTATGAAATAATGTTGTTTGCACAGACACTGGCTGCCTCTGAATTACTAATCGCACACAAATTAAATAACGTATTAATATTATTATGCAGATACGTTTTACATAAGATGGTTACATATGTATCCATCATTTAATAGGTTTGTAAATAAATTATGAGAACAAACTCAACTAATGATTATATAATTCTCGAACATAAATATAGCTAAAAACAAATAATTTAAAAAAATGCATGTAAAAAGACGGAGAATGTGGAATATAAACTATTTCAATGTTTGCGTGTAACGAATTTAATGCGTTAACGTCACGCGAGGTGCTCGCGTGAAATACGCCCGCCGTGTACTTCTGATTGGAGCGTTCTATCTTGGCGCGTCGCGTCGACCGCTCAAACGCAGTCTTTGATTGGTCTAATGGAAGCCGACGTCAAGACTCCGTCCAACCCTGAGAGACGCGTCGCTCACACCGTTAAGATGTGTTCCGTGCTGCGCGTCAGTGAGGCGCTCCAGAAGTTCTGCCACGGAAACAAGGTGAGCTGAAAAGAAATTCATACCGACATATAGCCTACCTGGCGTTTTGTAGGCCTATGTGAAGATTGTTTTAGCACTGTAGAATATATTCACCAGCATCTAAAGTTTCATGAAATACTTGAATATATTCTACAAGGTTGTCACTGTTTTCGGTCTCGAGTAAACTACATGAAAAGTAAAGTGTTGATCGATGGACTGACATAAATCATATAAAGCTGTATTTACACTATTTATATTACGGGGTTAATAATCTCCGGTTGGTTTTGATTATTTATCGAAATGATTCTGATATGAAGGAAGTGACAGGTTCTTATGTGCTCGCGAGTTCGCCACTGTACAGATGTTGCACTGATGAATGTAATGCATTTATGACGATTAAATATAAATGCAATACGGAGGATTAATGAATTTATCAGAAAACAGCCTAACAGAAAAAGAGCACATGAATCCCGAGACAGCAGTGATTTTATCACTGAAGACAAGAACAGACCACATTATCCTGTTTTTAAAATTCAATTACATGTCTATAAGTTCAACTAATAAACTCCTAAAGCTCCAAGGTGCTTCTTGAGGTTAAACTATTTTACATATCCAGAAAAAAAAACTTTAATTTATTGTTACTTATCTTGTTTACTAAAAGTGCAAATGATCTTGCATTTCATAAAATGCTGTTTGTTTACTAAGAACTTGTTCAATCCAACCTAATGCAATTTGCAATGAAGAGCCTCATTTGATGAGTCAAAAGCCCTTTGGACAGAAACAGGATTCAGGATGTCACATTACAGCATCAAATCCTGCAGATCAACCAGCATGTTAAATCCATTACTCATGTGCTCTTGATACATGGTTTGCTTTGTTTAATTAAAACAAATACATTCATAATTTCAGACTTGAGTCGGACTCTCATTTGAGAATATGTATTTCTATTTAAGCTCCTCACCAATGTAAAGTATTTACATTTCAATGCTATTTTATTGTTCGCTGATTGTTTGTATAATGTTATGTATTAGGCTGACTTTGTCATTTCTTTGAGGCTTGTTTTGTTCCAGGTATAACCCAGAGTAAATAGTGTTTCAGTGAGCTGTTTTCAAATATTTGCACTGTTAACGCGACACGCTGGTGTCTTAAGCATTAAATATGGTCATATGATCATTTAAGGAAACATTTTTCTTAACAATTGGATTCAAGTGTGTTATTATTTTTCTGTTCATAGAAATAAACCAATAATACTAATAGAACATATTGAAGGTCTGCCCCATGCTCATGGTCAACTGACAGTGCCGTCACATGTTTTGTCTAATCTCAGCGTTCTCTAAACAGGCTCTCATTCAACATCATTGTGCACTTATTTAGAATCACATTTCATTCCAAATTACATCAAATTCAGCATACAAATTGGGTTACATCTGTCCTTTCCATTAAATAAATGATTATTTTCATAGAAAAGGCACTTGATCAGAAAGAGACTAATGGAGAATCTAAGATGTTTTGGCATGCTCATTGCAGGTGCCGTAATTGAGCATAATGAAATGAAGGTGATTCAAGAAGAACAAGAGATAGCCGTGTGGATTCTGTGAGTCTCAGTACTAGAGTACCCAACTGTGAGAAGAACAGTGGTCATCATGATAGACCTGAGCCACCTGACCGAGGAGGAACAGGAGATGATCATGATGGTTTTGAAGAGGGACGCTGAGTTGAAGAAAGCAGAGGAGGAACGAATCAAGTAAGACTGCTTTACCAGCATAATCAAACTTTTATTTGTAGGCTA